GCGAAATAGACGACACACTAAACTCCGAAATATACAAATGAACCAACATAAAAAAACACTCAAACGACTAACAAAGGCTAGAGGTTCCTGACATGGGAAAGGCGCAAAAATGCAGCAGGGTAAATCATGTTCAGTGAGACATCAACCCTCCCTTAAACCTCTAGCCAATGTAGAATAAACAAACACACAGCAAGGTGCACAGTAAAACTCAGTTTAAAAAATTGAAGTCCATTTCCATAATACAGTCCTCGGTCAATATAATTTGAACAGGTCCATATATAACATATTGACCTTGTCAAAAGTCCATAATTGATAAATATATATAACACCAAACTGGGTGTTTTGAATATTGTTGTTTGTTTTTTTGGTCGTTTTGCGTTTTTTTTTGTCATTGCGTTGTCATTTTGTTTTCGAATTATGAGTTTGAATATTCCTCTGGTATCATTCGCCTTTCTTTTTTATAAGATATAAAAAAGTCATATGCGTACTACGAACGCTTATTTTATTCCTTGTGGTGGTCGATTGTTCAATAAAACGGACATAACATTTAATAACCGTATCTGATGAGGTCTAGTTAATTCGACTGTATCTTAAATCTAACCTTTTCTGACTAACCAGCAGAGAATTGATTGATGAGAAGCATAATACAATAGTGTTCACTTATTAAAACAAAAGAGTTCAGACAAACAAGAAAATTTGGTAAAATTATTTTTTAATTGAACTTTACCTTTTTAGCTGAATATTGTTATGGTATAGCTCCCGGTAGCAAGTGTTTTAGTTTTAGTAGATTTGAGTATGATTTAAAGGTTACATTTTGTGTGTGAATGTCCAGTTAAACAAATTGTGTAATTTTGATAGAACTCAAAGTTGACCTAAGATGGTTCTGTTTCGTCCGTTCTGGTTATTCCCATCTCAAACGTTATGCATTTTTATCATTCCAAACTTTTAGTTTCGAAAATATATCATGAAGGAGTGCATGTGTATAATAGCCTTTTAGCTAGAATATGTCAATATGTCAGGTGGGGTTCGTGTTGCTCAGTCTTTAGTTTTCCATGTTGTGGTTTGTGTACTGTGGTTTGTCTGTTTGTCTTTTTTAGCCATGGCATTGTCATTTTCGACTTATGAGTTTGAATGTCCCTTTAGTATCCTTCACCTCTCTTTTTGGATTTTTCACTAACTTTCGTCACTCATCGTTTAGCTCATAACGGGTAAACATCCGACGATTAGTACATTGTTCATTATCAGAAACAAGGACAAAAAAAAACGATGGGATTTTGGCGAGAACAAATGGAATCGAAAAAAATTGGTAACGATCATCCTAGACATTACGGCGTCCGAAAATATTAAAAGAAATATGATATTACCATTAAGAAACAATCAGTTGGTACAGTAGCTTCTTTTTTAAATAAGCCGACTATCAAGGCAAATTACGATAGAAAAGGCAAGTTCTGAAATAGTTTATCAACTCGGATGACAAACTCCAGAAGAATGAATGACATTATTGAAACAAATGAATGCGCATCATGCATTCCAAAACTTTAAAGCTAATCATCAAATAAGATAAAAAATATATATGTTTCTCCATGACGTAACACTAAAAAGGCTGATTCCTTCCGCAATAATTTTGTAATAAGATCTCTTGTTTCTACCAGTTTATAAATATATGTCGGAATGTAAAGTATTTAAATCTTAACAAAATGAAAGGCTAATCTACATAAGGCTAAATCTAAATTCACTCTTTAAATAAAAATGAATCATTTATTCTGTTTCAGTACATTCTATACAATATATCACAGAAATTAACCCATTAACCACTGCATTACAGTATTCTAACCCCACCTCATTCTTGATAAGCCAGTCAAAATTCAGACGTAGTCCAGTGGTTGCTGTTTGCCATAATTGTTTATTGTTTGTTGGTTACCCTTTTGAATTGCTCCACATTTTATTTAACAGGAGCACTATAGCTTACTTTACGGCAGGGGTTATTGCCCCTTGTCTAAGGCCGTACGGTGAAGAACTCAAATTGTTCATATCTTTGTCCTATGGTAGTTGTCTCATTGGCAATTGCACCACATATCCTCATTTTATATTGTATTATTTCAAGGCAAATCTTTTCTTCTTTAACAAGGTTCCTTACCTTCTGTCCATGAAATCACAAAATAGAAGCTAAATAAGACTTTAGCTTTGTCTAGCATTGTTTTAACTATATCTTTTGCTAAACCTTTTCACCAATACTATATATATTGATGTAAAATTTGCACAAGCTGTTACTCATAAAAAAACATTTAGCGAATACATCTTAAGGTTAGTTTTTAATTAAAAATTGAGTACCGTGACATAGTTTTAATAAACTGTAGTCAAACATTGGAATATGTTTGCATCGTTTGGCAAAATAAGGAAACATCAACTTTATTTATACCATTAATATTAGATTACAACACCGAACATAAATAAATTTACACAGCCCAGTCCACATCGTTTGCATTTAACAATTATCTAATAATCACTAAACACAAACCCTTTTCCTCCATATCAAAGTTTTTTGTAACATATTTTAAAATTTCATGGATTAGTTATTGAGTTCTTTCATTAATTACACATTACACGGCCGGTCTGTATGACCTATAACACGATGTCATTCAGTATTTTGAAAACAATTGCCGTGAAAAAAAGTAACACAAATAGAGAAAAAAAAATCATTTATTTTTAAGAAACCACAAAAGGCGAACACACAACTCTGCAAATCATTTAAAGAAAAACGTTTTGAATCTTTAGTGGTCACATTCCAATATATATCATGATAAATTTTAAACTAAATGTTTATTGTATCAGATAATATTATTAATTTGTATTTTTTAACTAATTTGATTCGTTCAGAGATAGTCACATGTTGAACTATATTTCCGAAGGTAGAGAGAAAACGGCGGATAGCAAAAAGCATATTGCACAGCAAAAAGCATATTGCACGGTTATTTTTAGAATATGTTAAAACCGATATACTTTGTGACGTCATGTAATGAATTTCATGATATTGTTATAAGTTTTTTAAAAAAATATCTATGATCGATTATTTGAAGAAAAAAAATCTTCATATACATAAGATGTAAAAAAAAAGTAAATTAAATAACAACTTAAATGTTGTTATTGTCTAGGAGACAATATGATATCTATAAAATTCCAACCGTGAAAATCAAAAAATCAAATGAGGATTTTGATACAAATATGGTCGGAAATTAATAATATAACAATTATAGCCTATTGATGAGGTCAATACAGGATATATCGACCCAAAGAAGTATTTCGACCTCGGACTTCGTCCTCAGTCAATATACTTCTTTCAGGTCAATATATCCTTGTATCGACCTCATACAAAGGCTATAATTGTATAGTAAAATGAAATGTGATTATTTTTTTTCCATAAAAAGGTTCATATTATTTCTTTTTGGTAAAACTTGTATTTTGTTAAATTTTAAATAACATTGATTGTCCAAGATCAGGCAAACGAATAATTTTTATCTTGAAGAGCAATGCTTGAACAGGCTGAATTAATTATAGGAAAATTTGATTCCTTTTACCAGTTGGTAAACCTTTAATTAGTTAAAGCGTATGATACCTGGATAGAAGCATACATTAATGTTTTTATTAATTTATTTATTATTTTGTGGTGCGATATTGACCACCACGTTTTCTACTAAAGCTATTATAACAATTAAATGAAAAATAATGTCATACATACTCATTATACAATACAACAAATACAAAGTGAATTAAACCAAAGTATATGTCCTTAATAATTTTACTTTATCTCGCATTTTTGGTCTTTTATTTGTCTATCTAAATGTATAAATTTGATAATTTCAAATGGTTTAAACCAGCTTTGATTTCTGTAAACATTTTTTTTTTATTATAAAACAATGATAATATACGATGTTAAAATGTTAAAATTAATCATTTAATCAATATACATCTTCAAACTGGCATCTTTATCGACCATCAGACGAAATAAGTTACAGATATTACACCATTGTTACATTAAAAACTGCTGAAAGTCTTCATTTTTTTCTGTATATCTTCCCACTTCTTTCTAATGCAATTTGTCTTTTCATCATCTATGCGTGTAGAATATAGAAGTACGATTTCTTCTTGGAAGTTCTTAGAAGGCAAAAACAAGGACTTCTGAAATGAAATATAAAACGCACATTCAAAACAAGTACGGCTAACTGGTGCGAAAGCTTTATAATTACAATATTTTACCATTTGCATCTTTTCCCCAAACTAAACTCTCTCCGGATCCCTAAAAAAAATCTATCCACCCGAAAAAATAAACTACCAAGAAAAAATTACAAACAAATAAAACGATAACAAATAACAACACAATAGCTACAATCATATACTATAGTAACCTTGCTTGGTTCTTTCCCCGGAAAACATTCATCACTGTCCTTTTCATAAAAGTAGACTGATTTGATGGGGTTGGCCGGACCCTTTCCATAGGAAAACTTGAGTTTCTGTAAATAAAAATTTTCAATATAAACTACATTTCTGATGGACCTTTGACTTTAAAGATCCTATGTACTTTTTAAAATTTGTCATTAACAAATTTGGTTCCGCGATTAATAACGTTACCTAAATAAAGGTAAAACAGTAGTATGTTTCCTCCATAGGCGACAATACTAACGTTTTCTTCATTTACCATTATTTATAATAAAAACCTGGATAAAACAGTTATGTTTGATACATTGTATGAGTAATTTATTACTCTGTTTTAGAAATTCATGTCAAATTGTGGCACGACCATCTTCGAACGGAGCATGTTGTAGTATCCATGGCCACCGTCATTTTACATCAAATTTATGAAAATTTGGAAGCCTTTTCGAAGAATTTCAAAATAATATTTTAACGTGTTTCAAAATTCATATTGTTAATATAAATACTGTAGTTATTCATAAATAAATCTTAAAACATATTATACCCTTACAGTCAGTCACAGCACTCCAAAGTTAACTTCTCTCACCTTCCTTGAGTACAAAAAAGGATAACCTGAAGCCAGGTAGATGTTATACTACTTTTTTTCCCTAAACGCTTCCATGGTACAGTAAAACAAGGATTAATTTACGTATACTGGATTGTTTAGCGTATAATTATTTTTCAGGAAAAGTAGAGAATGAGGATTACCTGCAAAATAAAATCATCTTTCCCAAACTGTTTCTCATCTTTTAGTAAATCTTTCTCATATTTTAATAGCTCCTCTTCTTTAAATTCCTGAAATTAAATGAGAAACAAGAAAAAAGAAAAGAAAATAGAATTACTATACCTGGCAACAATGATATCTGAAATAGTATTCATTTATAAAATCAAAAAAGCTTTGTCAAATAATTCATTTTATTTTCTTTTTTTTTCATTTTGAATAAGAATAACTGTGATGTTTGCATGATATTATAGATAAATATTTTTTTGGGGTCTAAAATTCCATAACCACAATTATTTTACGAAAATTATCTTTATAGCAATGTTTACTTTGAAAACAGACAACTATGGACAAATGAAGATGTGGTGTGAAGTATATATTTTCACGAGTTAAGAATATCAATATATAAGTACATACAATAGTATGTCTGGGTATTTGGAATTAGTCATTTTGGTCGAAGTTGTTCAATAGAAATAGAGATTGGAAAATATCAACATTTCCCCAGGGATAAGTACAACATTGTGAATAAATAATGAATACTAGTAAACAAGACAAATGAATTAATCATTGATTGAAGAAAGTACATTTATTGTTTATCAATTTCTATAAACGGTCCGTTTTCGTAATTCCATTTGTTGATCCCGTTATTTGACATTGAAAAAAAAAAATTAAAACGACGAATGGTCATAGAATGGTCTCAACGCATTGAATGAATGTTGCAAATAGTTGGATATGAATGTGCAACAACGTCTCCACTATACACGAAGGTATGCACTTACTACAGAGTTTATCAAACTCTGAACGGTACATAACAAATGTACTATTTCTTATTCAAGATTGACTTACCTCTCTAGGTTCTGTCCTACCGACAACCTTATAAAGCTGACGTGTATAAATCCTGTGTATAAGATCCTTTGATTTTTTCAGCTCTTCGTTCTTACTCATAAGGATAACATCAACAACACTGTCAGTTAATTTTTCATATGCACCCATCTCCTTAAAGGCCTCACTCATCTTTGCTTCTGTCCCGCTAAAATTTAAAAATCAATTATGAAATGTTGACAGATTTTTCGAAGTCGATTGTGATACTCATTGTGCGTATCGGTCAATGTCATGATGGCGTACATAAAGCTTTTACTATTAAAATTAAGAGCCCTTTGTTTAGCGTATTTCTTGTAAACAGCAACCTTCTACTAAATTATGATAGGAAATGCATGCTAAAAGTATTGTATTAACTTGCGTGGTATTTACACAATATGTAGGTCTTGTTGAAATATTTAACAAATATATGGAAAGTTCACCTTGATGAAAAAGCAAATTTCTTTGTCGAAATTCGAAACCGATTCAAGATTCAAATAGTCACACAACTTTAAATTTAGCCATATACCAAGGGCATTCCAAACCACAAGTAGAGGAATAACAGACAACACCAGGACTTATAGACAATAAGCAACAGAAAACCCTAACTGATAGGAAAATTAAAGACTGGTCAACAAAAACTACACCAAAAACGCAATCATAACAATGAACCAAATCATAATGACATATAGGAACCATTCCAATCTTTTGTTCAATAACTTCAGTTTTAGCAGCAACAATTTAACAAAACACCCATAATAGGACAAATGTCCTGTTATATCGTATCAAGTAAGGAAATATTAGTGCTTCTTAGATGTAACCGACATTCAACTCTCGTAAGACGATGCAGGAAGAGACAAATCAAGGTACCAAACAAAAACTGTGGGAATCACATGAACTCCAAAAGAAGAGAGATCTAGTGTATCGACAGGATAAACCTCAAATAAGTTAAATTCGTTTTGTTACAAACAAGGACAAAGGGGGTCTCGAGAACATAACTGAAATGCATTCATCTCTTTATTTGATGCACAATTATTTTTTTTACTAACCCGTGCTAGAATCAATAAATCTGTTATGTTAAATAAATCTGTATTAGTTTTTCGATCTGCTTTCTACGAAATACCCTACTCACCTACAGACCTATATAGCTATAGTATCGTTTTCATAACAATGTGGATATATAACGTCGTATTTAGTATAGACATTTAAACTGTGGGGTCACCAAAATTTCTCAACGCCTAAATCAAATAATTCGAAAAACTAGTACAGGAATAACCTTTGTGTTTTGATTAATATTGAATACTTAAACGTTCTTTACTTGCGTTTTTGCTATGTTTTGATAAACAATGTTTATGATATCGCACGTTCTTTAAACATACAAATTAATTTTACTAGCTTTAAAAGTTACAATGTATGTGTTGGCTATTATCTTTTTCGGACGTCAAAGCGATTAACCCATTGCAGTTGTCTAATTTTTTCACTTAGTATCTCTTAACTTTAATCTTGTGTAAAATTTTATTTTAGAACGAATGCATGATCAACTTTCAATAGTTGTGCAATCACAAAACATAGACAAAATATTCTTTGTTATGGTCTTTTTCGTACTTGCAAGATATTGGACATTAAAAAGCTATTTGACCAAGCCTTATGAAATTTGCATTTACTTTACGAAATACTAGTAGGTAAAATGTATAGTTTGGTGTATTTTGGAAACTGGAACTTTTCTGTTATCTACTATACTTGTGAAAAACCCTTGGTAGCAGAATGATTATGCACCGACTATTCTTCTTTTTCTGAGTGTGTGTGTGTGTTGATTTTTTTTTGTGAGGGAGGGATTGTTTTTTTTCTCATGCACATACATGAACATTACTTTTTTAATCTTAGTGTCGTTTTTTTTTCGTCTCTAATTTTGAATGTAAATCAATAAGTTTTTATCCTCTTTTTTCTGAAACAAAGTATTTTTTTTCCTTTCCAATTTTGATTTAGAATCAATTCATTTTTTTAAACGGCCCAACTTACACACACACAATAATTGACGGTAGTTTATATATCATCTTCGTCCTTTTTAAGATCGCAATTAAAATGCACATATAATGTATGTATTAAGCAGGAAATTAATTTTTTAAAACGTGGTCAAAATTTGCTTAAAACGGAAAAAGCAACAGCGTAATATGGATTGAATTTGAAGAAATTGTTATAGTTTACAGAACGTTACTTTTTTCCAATATAAACATTCATTTTTTTTAATTTTTTTTTTTTATCTACAACTTTGGGGCCCTTTATAGCTTAATGTTCGGTGTGAGCCAAGGCTCCGTGTTGAAGACCGTACTTTGACCTATAATGGTTTACTTTTATAAATTTTGACTTGGATGGAGAGTTGTCTCATTGGTACTTACCACATCTTCTTATATCTATAAATCGATTAAGCAAAAACAAATCCGGATAACAAACTAAAACCGACGGAAACACATCAACTATAAGAGGAAAACAACGGAACAACGGAAACACTGAACTACAACAAAAGCAAACGTCAACTTACATAGAAACGGACTGTAGATAACAACTGCCATATTCCTGACTTGGTACAGGACATTTTAAGAGAAAAATGGTGGGTTGAACCCGGTTTTATGGCTAGCCAAACCTCCCGCTTATATGACAATGTTAAAATACCGCTAAAATGACAATACTACGAAACAGGAATACAGTACAAACAAGCGCAAGAACACTCAGCACAGAGAAATACATAAATAAATAATATAATAGTACATTACAACATGTTAACCGAAGAATAACAACGGACACCTCCCAGGACACCTCCCAGGACAGCACACCAGGACACCACAAACGAAATATAAACTGCGCGTCACCTGAATGGAAAAAAGTCACAAAAAGTGACGAATACTTTGTGACGTTTATATCATCACAGGCAAATTTCTAAAAATAGAATAAATTTGTTTTATTTATAGACACGTACAAGAATATTAAATTGGGATTGAGTTTGTAATGGTGTTATTTTATGTATTTTCTAACCATGACAAGAATATTAAAATGGAATTGTGTTTGTAATGGTGTTATTATTTGTGTTTTCTAACCATGTCGGTTTTTCTTCTAAATCAAAACTGTGTATAAACAAAAAAATCATGTGCATATAGTTGCTTTAAACTTAAAATCATATAAATGAAGTAGCTGATTTTTTTTTATCTTAACTTTAGTTGAACACTGAATACCTTGAATCAATCCAGAAGGAAAATATAGTGGATCAGAACATCGCATCTCCATATAAGAATCTAACATTGTATACGAATAAAACAAAATTGCAACACATCGTTCTTAAGATAAAACAATTCTGACGTAAGGAGAACCGATGACAAAAAAGTTCTGAAGATATTTGAAATTAAATTCAATGTTTGAAATACTGTAAATCTAACAAAGCTCTATGCAACGAACAAATTTGCATATACGTCCGATGCTATATAGAATGTAAGACGTGTCTTAAAGAAAAAATGGAAACTGCATAAAATAAAAAAAAAAGCTGACAGAAACAAACAAATATATATCAAATTGTATCACCAACCACATTTGATCAATTGTCTTTAAGAGTTCCAATGATAGATATTAATCAATGACTTAAAATACATAATAAGTTGTCCATTTAGTACAATGTCATGTGTCTGAGAACTGCTCATTAATACAGGTTTAAGTTGGGGCGCAGTCCGAAGTGAAAGAAATGTGTAGGGTGGACAATATTAGATATGCACCGCTTCAAAGGGGCCACATTTATTTATTTATACCGAACTAACAGTAGAAGGCATTTCGCGAACCATTAAAACATATGTGAAAGAAGATCTTGCTCATCTGTAGTAATAATTGTCAAAATAGTTACTTATTCAAAGAAACAAATTGATAAAAGCACTTGTTGGTTGTTTCTGAATCCTATTTGCCACACTGTGAATCTATATTGTTTAAGATGTATTTGATTTCATAATAAAATGCTTTAACACTAAACATTTACGCCAGAAGATTATTGTGTGTCTTAAAATGCCTCATTTGTAAAACAAAGGAAGAGACACTTTTTGTGAAAATATTGGAGGCCCTGAAAAGGGCCGTTTGTGAAAACTGTCCTAAGCACCAGATGGATTTCAGATACTTGTTGCTTCGTCACTCCAAGGTATTCTAACCTGGTCGTTGCCATTTTGTTAACATCAGTTACAGCATTTTGATAGAAGATAGCTCGTGTTAAATCGAGAGGCTCAGATGAATATTTCCCGGTGAATAAAAGGGTAACTTATCGCACATTATTAATTTTTAGGGTTATTCAATATTCCTTGCATTCAAATGAAAATTAATAAAATTAGTTCATAATGATTATGTATGAGTCTTTCTACAGATGTATTTGTCCTCGATCTTTTGATGGATATCTAAAGTCTTTGTTTAATAAAGGTGTCATCAAATTTGTGGTTTTATATTAATCCTGTATGATGTATTCGTACAGTCGTATTTGGTTTCAATCAACTGTATTTGTCATCTGCTTCGCCTCGAGCTAATACAGCTTACCTCGACCCAATACGACTGAACCTGAAATTAATACATGATTAATTTGAAAACAGCCACTTGATAACATTATAGCATTAAGAATATTAATAAATCAATACGTACTTATCAGCTACAATGGGAAGATGGTCGTTGGCTGCAACGAGAGCGTCAGCTATCCTGTAAAACAGCATGCAATAATGTGATCAGTTGTTACTCATAGATAGTTTTTTTTTTCAAAGTGATAGATTTTTATATTTTGTCAATTTTATACACGCAACTAAAATTGATCCCGATAACGGAAAATCGTAACTATGTATAGCATTTACTCACATTAGTTGAATACCATGTGTAACTTGATGTTGGTATGCCCGTCTAAAAAGCCCATTGCGTGTATGGAATAACTCATATAAATTTAGTTCTTCCTGTAAAAATAACATGCAGTTGTTATCCAATTATTACCTGTAAAGGTTATGTTACGATATAGTATAGTTCGATGTATATTTTAAAACGTAAAGCACTAACGTTGTTATTATCTTAATTACGTGTTATGGTGTTCTTTTTATTTGTCTTTGTATATTTTTAACCTTTAATGTTTAGTCCATTTTTTTGGTAATATACTTTTGGCGTAGCTCGGTATCTATACATCCCGCCATTGTGTTATTGTGCTATGGTCATTGTTTGTATTCTTATCTTTCATTTCTGCTTATGTGCTTTGTCTATAGAGTTTCTATATGCCATTTTGTTTTTATCTGTTGAAATAGTTATTTGTTTTTATAGTGATTATAACACAATCTTGACTGTTGTATCCCAATTTTTTACCTTTATACCTACTATATATGTTTGTTTTGCTCACACATTATTATCAATATTATGGAATTCTATGCGACTGTCATAAAAGTGAGAGGTTTAGCTTGCTATAAAACCAGGTTCAATTCACAATTTTCCTCATTAGGAAATGCCTGAACCAAGTCAGGAAAATGACAGTTGTTTTCTATTAATTTGGTGTGTTCGAGCTTTTGATTTTTTGCCATTTGAAAAATGCATGACCTTGTGCTATGCCAAAATAGAAGTTAACAGTATCGACAAGATGTCGGATCATGAGTATTCATAACACTACATATATAGCAATATATAGTAAGATATTTTCCTTTCTAAAACATTGCTAGTGCTCACAAAGAGTTATAAGGAAGAATGACTGACTTCAACACTACATACATTTTACATTCACCATCACAAAATGGTTGTCCGATACAATGTATCGGTGTCTCAACTCTATTTCAACATGTTTTTGCGATCTTAGATCTTGAGATACAAGTATAGTCGTTTGATCTTTATTTTTCCCGATTGTGTCCCAATGCCTATTGTGAAATTCCAATCCGTGTGTATTCGTATTGCGGATGATGCATGCATAGCTGGAAATGCTTAAACTGTTGACGCCAACAGTATTGCTCCTTTGAAGTTCATGCAAAGTTTCTACTGTTTGTTACTTATGTTTTTCTCTTCCTTAACGATTTACGAGATTTGAACATCGGTAAACTACTGTCGCCTTAATTTAGCACTGATACGCCCATTGAAATGTAACCCGCGACTACAGACACGGGTATAGCAAACAAGTTATGAAATATAAAAACCGTTAGAAGGGGCAAAATGAACATCATCGTCCGAAAAAGAAAAATTAACAATGACAAATTGTCTCCTTTGTCGTTCATTCTTGTATATAGTTTCTTTGTGAAACTCGAATACACTGTATAATAACTTGTCATAGATACCAGGATTAAAATATTGTACGCGTACAAACGACTCATCAACGACTTTCGAATGAAAAAAAAGGAAAATGTAACAACAAAAACCACAAAGTAATAATGCATGTTAGTTTTCTATGTTGTGTTTTGTGTACTGTTGTTTGTTTGTTTGTCATTTTCTTTTTTCACCATGGCGTTGTCAGTTTATGAGTTATGAGTTATGAAACACAACATAGAAAACTAAAAACTAAGTAACACGAAACCCACCAAAAACTGGGGGTGATCTCAGGTGCTCCGGAATGGTAAGCAGATCCAGCGGGAATGTTGCTACATAGAAATGGAAAGTTCACAATTGGGAAGCTGAAATCATTTTTTTTTTGTCGTAAAGTTTTGTTTTCAACCGACCATCATTGCCAATTTCTCTAGATGTAAGTCAAGATATGAGGCAGACTTCACTGTATCTGTTGTATCCTTTATCTCTAGTTCGATGGGATAGATGCGTTCAACATAGTCACCAAATTTTGAATTATTTAGTGAGAGAACATCATCTATATAGCGGAAAGTAAAATTAAAGGATACTGCTAACTTCTTTTCTTTCTTCCTAAAAGTTCCTGTATGAAGTCAGCCTCATAAGAATAAAGGAACAAGTCGGAAAGAAGAGGGGCACAGTTGGTTTCCATGGGAATGCCGATAGATTGTTGAAAAACACGTCCTCCAAACGTAACAAATATGTTGTCAATTAAGAAATCAAGCATCTTGATAATGTCAGTTTCAGAGAATTTTTTGTTTGAATCAGAGTGATTTTTTACAAAGTAGGATTTATCCCCCCTAAGACAAGATACTTGTTTCTACGTTGGCCATTCTTTTTTATGAAACAAAGCTATACCAACTCTTTCAATTTGTCTTTTAGTTTGGAATGGAGAATACTTGTGTAAAGTGTAGAAAAGTCAAATGTTTTAATACTTCAAGATGAAAGAGTCTTAGATTGTATGTACTCTAAAAGATCTTTGGAATTTTTTAGTATCCACATCTGATTCACGCCACCTCTAGAATAGGCAGTTTCACAATAACTTTGAAGTCCGGCTTTGATTGCTGATAAAATTGATTTTAATAATTTAGAAAGAGGTTTCGTGGAGCACTTGGAAGACCCAGCAATATACCGTTGTTTGTAAGAACACTTATGTAGTTTAGGTATCCAATACAGTGATGGAAGATCCAGTTCTTCATCTTTGATTATTTATGAATGGGGAACTAGCACAGGAACAATCAGGAGGTTTAGACATGAAGTCGTCAATATTGAGATCCTGCAACACGCGTTTGTAATTGAAAATTTTAGTTGCAATTGGTTTTGTATAGGTATAAGAAATGATTGGTACAGACTGATCTTTAAAATAGGGAGGTAGTTTAGATTGAACTAATTAATGATGAAGGATATTGCCCAAGTTGACGGCATTGAGACCTTTGTTGGCAAAGGAAAGTTTAAGAAAGGATCTTTTCTCTTTTTCATTTTTTCCAATGCGAATTTGTTTGAAAAGTCTGTGCCTTGTAATATCCGAAATGATAGCTGCAAATTTGTATTGGTTTGAATGAGGGTTTGTAACAGAGGTTTCCAGACATAAATTGAACAGAGAATGAAGTTTTGAAAGGGGTAATGAATAAAGCTTCGTGCGAATGTGATTAATACCTAACGGGTTTTGTATAAATGGCAGCAAATCATTAATAGAGACATCATGGAGAGTTTGTGATGTATAATGAAGATGACCATCACTGCGTCTACGTCAAAGAGTTGAGTTGAAAATATTCATCACAATCACCAAGCAACAGGAAGGACAAGATATTATACCTATACCATCATTGTCATTGCAACCATATGGTGTCGCAGTTTCCAATTGTCGAATCCATTAGTCTTCTTTTTGTCTACGGAGAGGCGTTGCAAGATGAGGATTGTAAGTCCTGTGGTATATTTTTTCGATCATGCGAACTTTCATAGAAAGGATTGAATGATCAGGCTGGTTAAAATGCTGGTAAAGAATGTCGCTTTCATTGTGGTTGATGTCTGATCTATGGCCGCACATACGTTTGTTTAGCCTTCTTTTCATTTCACCGACGTATACCAATCTGCAAAGGTTACACTCTAATCCGTAGACGACATTTAAAGATTTAAAATTCAGATGATCGTAACTTCTGGTAAAATAAGACTTTTTAGTTAAATTGCTAGTGAATTGAGCATCTGTTATTAAAATTCAACAGGTTTTGCAGCCATTGGCTTCACATTTCGAAATGAGACAGTGTTGTTCAGAGTCATCAAAATCCAAAATGTCTGTTAGAAGAACTGAACATGGCTGTGTATGGAGACTATTGCTATCGTCACTAGTATGATGATCTGAATGTGTCATGTTTGAAATATTTGTCATGTCTGGTGATGAGGGGACACCTGCCTTATCAGACGACACCGTGTCCATGGTGACGTCTGTTTCGGACCTTTTTATACTGGGCGACGTCCGAGCCAGTATTCTGTTTGATCTTCGTAAATTCATGCAATATTGCTACTGGGCGGATGATGTCCTCGGGGAAAAAATGTCCACAAGCAGAGACATCGACCCATTGGTTATAAAAAAAATCATCAATATGCGAAGGCATTAAGAATAAAGTCCGTATAACTGTTCGTTGCTGAATGACGAAATGACGGATAAGGGTAACACTATATGGCCCCAACCACTTTGAGGCGGGGCCATAATAAAGATTTGCATTTTACTGAATCTGACTGTAATTTCCGCAAGTAAAGTAACCATTGACATTCTTAACTGTTCTAGTTAGTAATGTTTTAGTTTTTATGTTCTAAAATATTTTATAAATTCTTCTTTGGTGTAAAGGAATTAGGAATCTTCAGTTGTCTATGTACTACTTCACCAAATCCAAAGGAGACAATTATGTTAATTTGACAGCAAGTCCTATCTTATGACTTGTAAACGTGTGTTTCTAAGGTACAGTGCTATTTGCACGATTTAACATAGAGTTGAAAGGAAAATTTCAGTTAACAAAAAAAATATATGGTTTACCTTGTCTCTTACAGCAATGGTGGTTTCCTCGGAATCTGTAAATGGAAACATGATCCTACATTGGCTTATAAAACGTGAATGATTAAAATTGCTCGTCATCCCTAAGCCATGACAGTCTCTTGCAAAATAATCCATTTTGTCCACGTCTATCGCATTCTGTTTGTTTGCCACTATCTATAAAAAATATAAAGACAGTTTCCAATTTGACCTCCGATACAATTTTCAAACCAATTGAGATCGTTTCGTATTTTCATGTGTGAACACTTATTATAACCATCCGTATATATGTTAGTTTATATGACTACGAATAAGGTAAACAAACATTGACATAGCACATTATCCCCCTAAAAGGAATCTGGTGACATGTTTCATGTGTCAAGATCTAAAACGTTCGTAATCAAGACAAGAAGTAAATAAATATCATCGAGAAAACGAACTAACAAAGATGTGCCTATAACAAAGACATATTAATAAACACAACATTTAATATACAACCGAAAAAAAAAGTTCACTTTGAAGGATACTTATTTAGAAATACACTTTCAATATGCGACTGGTGTAGCTACTCAGACTTTATAAAACGTCACCGGTGTCTGAGCAAAAAGTTGATGATAGTTATCAAAGGTACCAGGATTATAATTTAATACGCCAGACGCGCGGTTCGTCTTCATAAGACTCATCAGTGACGCTCAGATCAAAATAGTTATAAAGCCAAACAAGTACAAAGTTGAAGAGCATTGAAGACCCAAAATTCCAAAATATTGTGCCAAATACGGCTAAGGTAATCTATTCCTGGGATAAGAAAATCCTTAGTTTTTCGAAAAATTTAAAGTTTTGTCAACAGGAAATTTACTAAAATGACCATATAATTGATATTCATGTCAACACCGAAGTGCTGACTACTGGGCTGGTGATACCACGGGGACGAAACGTCCACCAGCAGTGGCATCGACCCAGTGGTGTAAATAGTTATCAAAGGTACCAGGATTATAATTTAATACGCAAGACGCGCGTATTGTCTTCATAAGACTCATCAGTGACGCTCAGATCATAAAAGTTATAGAGCCATACAAGTACAAAGTTGAAGAGCATTGAGGACCCAAAATTCCAAAATATTGTGCCAAATACGGCTAAGGTAATCTATTCCTGGGATAAGATGACCCAGGGTTATGTCAAAGAAGGCTCGTCCTTTTTCTGAAAAAGTTCATCGGAAGTTACCAAGACCTTGTTGATAAATATTCCGTATCAACTTCACAAATAATACATGATGGTCTTGGAGTATAGTTTCTAGGTAAATTATTTACCTTTATTGTTTAGTACATATTAAGTAATATCCTTTTGGCGTGGCTCGATACATCCCGTCATTGTGTTATTGAGCTATGGTCATTTTTTGTATTCTTGACTTTCATTTTTGCTTATGTGCTTTGTCCATATGCCAATTTGTTTTTCTTTGTTGACATATTTGTTTGTTTTTATAGTGATTAAGATTATAACACAATGTTGATTGCTGTATCCATATTTTTGACATTTTTACCTATTATGTCTGTTTGCTTTGTTCACACATTGTTGTTAATATAATGAAATTTTATGCGACTGTCATAAAAGTGAGAGGTTTAGCTAGCTATAAAACCAGGTTTAATCCACCACTTTCCGTTTTGAGTTTTCCTTGGAGTTAGGTATTTTTGTTATTTACTTCTTTTTTTTAAGCAAGGTCTGTGAAGATCTCTCTCCTGTTCTGCCGACGAATAGAATAACAAACGGTAAATAAAGGAATGTATTCTTATTTTTTTTTATCAGAATGTGAAAATCCTTAACGAAAATTTACGACGAGAAAGGTCAAGTTATTCTTTTAGTAATCATTTTGTAATGAAATTTTTCTTTACAATTTGCTAAGTTCAATAACAAAGGGCAGGTTTTACTTACACTTTTGATTTAGTAACAGTAAATTTGGGCTCATAAGTAGAATTGTGAGCTATTTCTCACTAATGATATCCCCGCCTTAAGTTTTCGGTTAATATGCAATTGAAGGACAATGTATCTGAAAACTCATCACACGGCGATGCATGTTCATATAAACCCTGAAAGCAAATTTCAGGCGGCTCTTATATGTAGTTCCGCAGAAAAGGGCGACGATAATTTCATACATGCCCAGTATGTTAGAGTGATATATACAATGCATTAATATTCAGTAAACAGGAAGTTGATGAGCGATGAATCTAACATGCTGACTTGAGGCCTAATAGCAAATATCAGGAACCTATTATTTGTAGTTTCCTAGGAAAATGCTACAAACGTTTCATACATGGTCATCATGTTAAGACAGAAAAGTATTCGCTAAAAAGAAAGTTGATGAGATCGCTAAATCTGACACCGCATTAAAGGGTAGAGCATGCTGAATTGGAAGCCTAATAGCAAATATCAGAAAGGTTTTATTTGTAGTTCCGTAGAAAAATGCGACAAAATTTTCATACATTGCCATTATGTTTAGAATATATCAAGGATGAATCTCAGACCACGTCACACAGTATAGCATGTTCACATGAAACCTGATAACAAATTTCAGGAAGCAAATATTCGACGGAAATTTAATGGGACAGACTGACAAAAAGGAAGGATACAACAGTACAAATGTTACAGTAAAAAGGTGACTTTAGGAATTACACGGAATTACTAAACAATTCAGTAAATACCTGTAATTACTAATCAAATGAATAATAACATGTATTTACTGATTGTTTCATTGATTACAGATAACAGGTGTAAACAATTTCAATTATATACAAAGACAAATCATGCCATGCAATATCTGCAGATATGGTTGGTAATATCTAAGAAGTGTTATTTCGGTGGTTCTTTATAAAGATATTGTAAAGACGAATCAATATATAACAGCGTGTCATTCGCCCCTTTAAAAACATTACGTTCATCGCAAGCATGTTATACCTTCGGACGCATTACATTTAAAAAGTGTTGTTTTCATTTTTTTGAAAAAAAACATGTCTAGTAAAACTGTTTCTAAGTATGTCCCTTACAGTAATAGTTTATATGCTAAAGAGTATTGTAATAATTCTTAGCGAAATTTGAATTAAAATACATATGGTAATCCCCCGTTTTAATTGCAATTATATACGAAGAAAGATCATTGAACGGTGAGACGTTTTCTTTGCGATTTATCTTTGTGAAGTAGTATTGTCCGTTTGACTTCTATATATTTGCAGAAAAAAAATCTTAAAAATCCATTTTTTCAAATCATTACTTTTTTTCTTGATGTATGTTAATATATGATATGTACGAACTGTGACTATTAATATCGTAATGTTTGATTTATAATTAAAAAAGTTGCCTGTTAGGTCTCTGTGTTAATTTTAATTTTTGTAGGTAGTAAACACTTGATGGAGTAAGTATACATAGTCTAACAGTCTTTCAATCAAAACAAAAACAACATACATGTGCTTTAAATGTCTGTTTCATTGTATCATTCGACTTTACACATTTGAATATTAAAACGACCTTTACTGACCAGTAAACAAAACTTAACTTCAGTTAAGTTTGATGTCATGTGATTGTTTAAATGTCTTATCAAATAACAAAATATTCTCCAGTGTCCAATTTCTATTAGAAAATGTTAGATATATTATAAACAAATAAAACAGTACATTATAGGCAAATAATATCAAAATGAATATAGCATTTTCATTTATATTAATACCTTCATATGCTATCAAAAACAATAATGTTATTTTCAACCATAATTGGTTTTGTTCATTGTTATTTCCAAAATTTGTATTTTTTTATTTTCCCTGGTCAGCAGTTGTGCACTTTACAAAGAACGAAATGTTTATTCTGTAGGTATTTCTTAATAAAAGATTTCAGGGCTTAGATATAAGAAGATGTGGTATGAGTGCCAATGAGACAACTCTCTTGTTTGTTTTGTTGTGAAAATCACCATGCGGAATGCATGAAAAGCTTGCTTATAGTCTTATAGTGTATAGAAATATTTATTAAATCACATAAAGGCAAAAGATATTTCTAAACATTTCTTTTAGGAAACAAAACATAAAAAAATATTTTGTGATAACAACTTTAATTTCCAAAATCATCTATGAATATATGTGTGTAAAATCATACACTGATTTAAAATCAATGATCAAATCTATAAAGAAAAGATGTGCATTTTTATATGGTACAATGAGACAGACACTTAAAGCACATGTATGTTGTTTTTGTTTTGACTGTTAGATTATTTATACTTACTCCATCAAATACTTACTACCTAAACAATAAAATTTACATAGAGTCCTAGTGGGTAACTTTTTTAATTATGGACAAAAAATTATGATATTAATAGTCAGAGTTCGTATATATCATATATTAACATACATCAAGAAAACAAATAATGATTTGAAAAAATAGATTTTTAAGAATTTTTTTTCTGCAAATATATAGAAGTCAAACGGACAATGTGTATGTAAACATTATGATTCATTGTCTCTTTTTTATATAATCAATCTTACATAACAAAAAAATCATTAAACGACCAAAATATTGACCTCTTTGTCAATTTGTTGAAAGAACTTCCATAAATAGATGTATGCTTTATCTCTTTAATCATTCACATCGAACCTTTCACCAGCATGATTGACCATGAAGAGTATATCTAATCCTGACATCTTGCTGTTTTAAAACTTCAGTATGTTTGTACTGAAAGTGATATTACCCCGTATTTAACACATTTTGAGAAAACAACATAAAGTTTAATTTTTTTCTTAGTTAAAGGTCTCCAAGACCCCATTTTCAAATTTTTAATTGAGTTTTGTTTTCGAAGAAATATTTGCACCTTTTTCTTTTTTTCTATAATTTATTTATTGTCATGATTCGAAGTATTTCTTTTTTTTCAATACAAAATATTCTTTGCATACAATTTTTACTTAGTATACCTAGCGCATAAAAAAGTGAGTCTTGCTAAAAACATAATGATTTACTTTTGCATACAAACTTATAAAAAGTAAAAGGCTTAAATTTCCAAAACGTTTCAGTTACACTTGCATTTAGGTTTTGACGTCTATTATGTCTGTGGTTTCTTGACAACAGCAAAATAATATTTATCATAATTGATTTACCATACCATAAAAACGCAGTTGTGTGGCATTAAAATGGATAGATATATTAGAAAAGTTACAGTACGTATTAAGCTACTCTTTGGTTAGGATAAAGACATTTTATGGAAACCGACTGCAGATTTTATGACACGGTATCATAACATTAGCAGTTTAACATAATTACAATCCTTGATCAATGTTGATTTCTCAACTCACAAGCGACTTGTGTTTGCGGTAGAAGATAATACCAATTAGTTGTCTGATCGATTGTGTTCTATTTTCCATTGTGACTTTTGCCAAATACATCTAAGAAAACATATTCTTTGGCTTTTTTAAAACTCTTATTAGGAAATAAAGTAAAAGTAAAATCCTAACTCTCACCTCATACATGTACTGTCGTGGATTGCCTTTCATTACCTGAAAAAGTCAATGGCACATTTACATCATGTAAAACTAAATAATTTGTTAATTGTTTCAATCTTCTGTCAATGAATCATATTTCAGATGGAATATTAATAATGTTAATTTTTTATTTCTGTCGATATTCTACACGGTAAAACTCAACCCTTACTTCATCATATAACAGTTTTTGATTTATTCACATTTAACGTCTGGAGTTTTGTTGCATAGAAAGAAAAAAGGGATACAGCAGTCAATATTGTGTTATAATCTTATTTCACTGTAAAAACAAATAACTTTTTCAACGACGAAAAACAAAATTGCATATAGACACTCTATAGACAAAACACATAAGCAAAAATGAAAGATCAGAATACAAAAAATTACCATAGCACAATAACACAAAACCAAAAGGATATTACCAAAAATGGACTAAACAGTAAAGATTATAAATATATTTGTAAATACAAAGAACACTATAACACGTAATTAAAGTTGCATGCAATCATATATAATATATAAGGGCAACATTAGTATACCGCTGTTCACAAGTCATAAATCGATTAAAAGAAAAGAAATCAGGGTTACAAACTAAAACCGGAGAAAACACATCAACTTTAAGAGGAAAACAACGGAACAACAGAAACACTAACTTGCAACAAAAACAAAAAAGCCAACATACATATAAGCTAAAAAGCATATTTAGATATTTTTTTGCATGCCTAATAAACGAAGAATTCAATATTCTAAAAGTTTACGTATTCAACACTGTAATTAAATCTTTGAATATTGTTTTTATTGTTATAAATATTGATTTTGTTATCAGTAAATTATAGCCATACTAAATATTACACATCTGTACTTCCACGAACTACAATCTGTCGATACCTATATTTTGAAATTGCACAAGATCATGTTTTACTCTGACTGTTAATGACGTCTTTATACTAAATCCATTGGATGTTGGATGTGTACTGGTTGATATTTAAGTCTTAGATACATGATTTCTTTTATTAGTTGTTATTGGCTTTGAACTAGCTGTCAGTAACTGCGAGTACTCTCAAATCTGTACTTAGTGTCTTTTTTGTTGTTAGGGACGAGGGATGGATATATACCCTGCCACGTCCTGTCTGTGTTTTTGTTTGATGTTTTTGTTTGTATCGATCTGATGAGTTAAGTCTTTTGCAACTGATTTTGATAGTTTGTTCTTATGTTGTGCTGTTACACCACTGTCCCAGGTTAGGGGGACGGTTGAGCGCTCACAAACATGTTTAGCCCCGTCACATTCTTTATGTGCCTGTCCCAAGTCAGAAGCCTGTAGTTCAGTTGTTGTTGTTGGTTCTTGTCTGTCATAGTTGTTTTTCGTAAATTGTTTTGTTATAGATTAGGCCGTTAGTTTTCTCAATTGAATTGTTTAATATTTTTCATGTTGGGGCCACTACAAAAGTTAATATTCATCCAAACATTTTCTGTAGAATTCTACATTTAATCCATCAGGGGAGCCTTATTAAAATTCTTTTTAAAAAATTGCTTCCGTACATTAAACATGAGTTATTTTCCCTTCTCAGGTGTTGCTTTCAACATCGTTCAATTTCTAAAATTCCTTGAGCGAATATAAATACGTTCCTGTTTCTGTTATGTCAGGGTTTCTTGTGGAGTACAATTTTTTTTATAAAAATCTACTTCTAATTTTAATATCTTTTCTTGATCTTTTGTAACTTTTCCATTCCATACAGCTGAATTATTGTTCTTCTACTCTGTCTTAATTTTTCCATCCCAAGGAAATATACTGATTTTTTCCCCTTCTTACAGAATTTTGCCCGTGTCCTAATTTGGTTACCTTTAGTTTTCTCATTATAGGTATAAACATATAATGATGTGGTATGATGTAAATAAAAACAATTCCACCAGAGACCCAATGACATAGAAGTTAACTTTAGGTCACCGTACGGCTTCAACAATGAGCAAAATCCATATCGCATAGTAAGCTATGAAATGCTCCGACATGACAAATGTAAAACAATTCAAACGAGAAAACTAACGGCCTGATTCATGTACAAAACAATGAACAAAAATCAAATATGATATACAGCAACAACTGAATTACAGGCTCCTGACTTGGGACAGGCACATACGGAATGTGGCGGGATTAAACATGTTTGCGGATGACCAATCCTTCCCTAACCTAGGACAGTGGCGTAACAGAACAACATATGAACACACTATAAAAATCAGTTGAAAAGGGTTTAACTCATCAGATCGATACAAAGCAGAAAAACGTGCAACGAAAACACAGACCGGACGTGGCAGGATATTTATACATCCCCACAACAAAATTACAGTTAACTAATTATTTTGCATAATTCGTTTTCTATATTTTCTACAATCTGTAACAAACCATAATTTTTTTCATTGCATGTGTCTAGAAAACTATTTAATTGAGTTAAACTTTTTCCAACTTATTTATTTGGTCTTTTTTAAAATTGAGCTTTTGATTTGCAATAGCTAATTGTCTGGTCTATAACTTCAATTTTGAAATTATCCTACATAATGTCAAACTCATGATTTATCTTTGCTTTATTATACCCCACGCAACGAAGTTGCGGAGGGTATAATGTTTTTGACCCGTCTGTCCGTCAGTCCGTCCGTCAATCCGTCCGTCAGTCTGTCCGTCAGTCCGTCCGTCCGTCAGCCCTGTTTCTTGTCATCGAAACTCCTCTCAAACCACACAACAGAATTTCACGAAACCTTTTTAGATAAAAAGGACATATTATGTAGTTGTGCATATCGACAGGAAATTACGATTCAATTTTTTTTCTAGGAGTTACGCCCCTTTGAACTTATTTGCTTCAATGTACTACTGCAACAGTTTGTCATCGCAACTCCTCTGAAACCACACAACATAATTTCATGAAACCTTTTTAGATAATAAGGACATACTATGTAGATGTGCATATCGACAGGAAATTACGATTAAATTTTTTTTCTAGGAGTTACGCCCCTTTGAACTTATTTACTCTAATGTACTTCTGCAACAGTTTGTCATCACAACTCATCTGAAACTACACAACAGAATTTCATGAAACCTTTTAAGATAATAAGGACATACTATGTAGATGTGCATGTCGACAGGAAATTACGATTCAATTTTTTTTCTAGGAGTCACACCCCTTTGAACTGATTTGCTTTAAGGTACTACTTCAACAGTTTGTCATCTCAACTCCTCTGTAACCACACAACAGAATTTCATGAAACTTTGTAGATAATAAGAACACACTACGTAGATGTGCATATCGACAGGAAATTACGATTCATTTTTTTTTCTAGGAGTTACGCCCCTTTGATCTTATTTGCTTCAATGTACTTCTGCAACAGTTTGTAATCTCCACTCTTCTGAAACCACACAACACAATTTCATGAAATTTTGTAGATAAGAAGGACATACTATGTAGATGTGCATATTTTTCTTATACAATTTTTTTTTGTTACACTTATTTATTTTCTCCAATGACAATGTGGGGACGTGGGGTATGTGAGCGTGCTCACTAAGGTTCTTTAATTTTAATTTATTTTTTATTATTTTCAGAATTACTTCACTAAAGTCTTCATCTTTTTGTATACTGCTATTGAGTTTCCAATGGACAATTCTTCTTACCAAAAACTTGCAGAAATTGTTTAAATGCACATTACCTCGCCGTCAATCAGGTCTTTGATCATTTTCAAATGAACTTCTGTGAATTCTTTATCGAATTCTCCCTTAAGACTTTCATTGCTTTCAATCATATGGTCAAACATTTTTCTAGAAACTTCTTCGTGCTACAAGAAGCAAAATATTAACACACGTTTTATTGTTGCAACATTATAACAGAATGTACACTGAACCTGTAGCTCTTAGACTACTTAGAAAAACGTAGCAATAACACTAATAACAATATCAATATTTGCTATTTTTTTTTTTAGCAAAAACTAATACTCAAGTAACCCAATTAAAATTGAAGAAAATACTTATCGTAAATGCCTTTCCTCTAAAACCACCATGCTTCTTGATCTCTTGTAAAGATATGCATACATGTAAATGTTAGTTGTATTTTTGTGTCATAAGAAAGATATAGATTTGCTAATATTTTTGTTCAACTCTCTTTACGCTGAATAAGGGTTGTTGAACTTAAACGTTTGCTCAGTTAGTTTCTTTGTGAGCTAATTATTTCGAATATTATTTTGTAACATGTAAAATAAGTCGATGCAAAAAAATATATACTTTTGCTGTTACAACCTATATTGGACGTTTTCAAATTCATGTTACGTGTATGTTTGACATTTTGCAATTAATCAATTATTGAATGTCCCTTTGGTATCCTTTTCCTCTCTTTTACAGATCATTCAATTTCAAAATCTAAATTATCTCACGAAATTACTTATTTGAGAAAGGTTAACAAAGGCGTTTTATTGTATAGTGTATACACAGTGCTTAAAAGTGCACACAAGATGTAAATTCATATTATCCATACGCAAAGGTTTTGGACGGATATGCATGCTATACTATTTGCATAAGCTATTTCATAAAAAACAATATATATAAAAAATAACTTGGCTTTAATTTTTGTCATGAGCTGCGAGTCACTATATGAACGTTTTTGTCGAGTAAGCTAGCTAGGATAGTCCAGATTTTCCACTCTTCATTCGATTTGACCCATTTTACTTAGCGTTTTTCTTTGATTTATTGTTAATTATTTTCTCGTCCTAAATATGCCTTAAATAGTTCTCTCTGAACGTTAATCAGCAGTTACTTCAATCAACCTGTCTAATATATTTAACGTGAGAAAATAGTAAACCGGTATCTTAATATGTTCGATATGCACTGACAAGTTTAACCCTGCCACGTGTTCCTGTTCCTTGTCAGGAACCTTATCAGCTGTTCTCTAATTTCATAACTCAATGTTTTTCTTCTTTGAATAATTTGGTGTTGATGTCAATTCTTTGATTCTTCTTGTTTAATTTATTCACAACTGACTTGGGACGATATTGTAATCACGTAATGGACACCGGGCTGATCTCAGGTGCTCCGGAAGTGAAAGTTTGATTAAGGACATGTGAATAACATGTCCGGTATTGATTGTCTAACAAACTCCTAGTATATTTCCTTGTAACATTACATTCTTAATTGCATGACAATTTACAGTAATTTCGCAAGAATGTTTTCACCCTCATTCGAGTCGACTTACGTCACATAGCTCATCACTTTTATTTATTGTTATTTTTTCTCGTCCGATATATATGCATGAAATGTTTGATTTTATGACACAATAACAGCAATCAATCTATTTTTGAAGAATGTATTTTGCCATCAACATGTCTTTGGTAGTTTTTGCCGTAGGATTGCTCTCTCGTTGACCTGAACCCCACTTGTTCTTTAATTCAATAATATACAAGAAAGAAACTTATCAAGTCAATCAAGAGGCCCGGTCTCGGTTCTGTGGCAGTTCATGCGATACCTCTCTTTTTATTTATAACTTTAGATTTTTCTCTTCTTTATCAATTTAATAACTATGAACATCGATAAGATACTGTCACCTTAATTTACATATCTAGTTTTCTTTCAAAAGAAAGTAAAAACATATAATTGATGTAAATATAACAAAACTTACATCACTTAATTTCTCGTTTAAAATTTTAGCTGAACTGAAGGATGTTTTAAAATTTTAGTATTAATTATATATTTAGTTTATAACAAAAATTTAGTTGTTATAAATTAGATAACATGTTTCATCAAAGTAAATCGTGTCAACATAAAGGTGTTTCAATACTTTTCTTTTTGTTGAAATTGACATTCATAATACATACCTGCCACGGCTCAAAATTCTTATCTTTCTTTTTCATTGCCTCGGGAAACATCCGGTCAAACAAATGTGAATATGGTCCATGCCCTTGATAAAAAAAATTCAAAACGGAAAATCCTTTATCAAATTGCAAAATCAAACGTTCAAACCCATCAAACGAATGAAGAAAATGGTTTTATAGCTAGTTAAAATTCTCACTTGTATGGCAGTCGTATAAAATTCCATTATATTGACAACAATGTGTAAACAAAACAAACAGACAGAATTGGAAAAAAATGTCAAAGATAGAGGTACAACTGTCGCATAAACAAATAACTATTTCAACAAAGAAAAACAAAATCGCAGACAAGAATACAAAAAATGACCATATCCCAATAACACAATAGCGATAGTATAGATACCGAGCCACGCTAAAAGGATATTACCAAAAATGGACTAAACAGTAAAGGTAAATAATTTACCAAAGACAAATAAAAAGAACACTATAACACGTAAATAAGATGATAAACAACGTCAGTACCTAGAATATATACTTCAAGACCATCATGCATTATTTGTGAAGTTGATATGGAATATTTTTCAACAAGGTCTTAATATTAAAGTGACCTTATAATGTTACATCTATCTATTATAGTTTTGATATGTTTGGTCGTCACTATTCTTAAACCCATTATTTTGTTCATGATTAAGATGACTAAGGTGACAAGATAATTGTAGAGTGGTTAGTAGTTGAATATACAGGCAGCATACCGGAGTGAGTAGAATATTTAAGACAGATTTCGAAGCAAGCAAACATGGTGGTAAAACCAGTAGAATCAAAATATGAATTAAAGTTAAGCTCGTGGAAAAGCAATTTCATATCAATTCCAAAGCAAAACATATATTTACTTTCCAGGTTGACTACGTTCGGTATTATTTAAGTAGTGGTTAAAAACGCAAGTGAAGTTCAAACTTGTCCAGGTAGCATAGTTATTTTTAAGATATACACACTAGCATCATGTGATTGTATGTCCCGTATTGCAGTTTCTTTGTTCATATGCAAAGTGTAAGTAATTCAGTGGTTCCTTCATTGCCATATTATCAGGGATGATTTTTAGATTTTGATTAAAGACTACATTCAGTGTTGCTTCATATCGCATTTTATTTTTTGCATTCAATTTCCACTGTAAGTTCTATGCTTCTATTTAAGTCGAGTGATTTCGATAGATTGCAGTTAATAAATTTCAATTGGCTCGTCTCCTTCATTCTAATTGAAGATATGTTACAACTTGCTTTCTATTGCATATGTTTAAACCAAGTTATATTATGTTCCACTGTAAGTTTTTATTTCCAAAATGTTAATTCAACAGTAATTGAAATATCTGCCTAGTCCCAAATGTTGCCTTTGAAGAAGTAAACAAAATGTTTTTCTCTTTTTTTACAGCCTTTGTACTCTCCTTATGATATAATTCAAAATGAATAAACATACCTAAATCATGACATAGGGCAGCTATCTCGATACATAATTTATCTTTATTTGACATTTTAGCTTTTTCCAATCTATCTGCATATTCTTTGTTGTCTTTTATCATTTTGTTGATATCTTCTTTTTCAGACATTTCAGCTTTTTCCAATCTCTCTGCATATTCTTTGTTTTTATTTTTCATTTTTATGATATCTTCTCTCAGTTTTAACTGTAACTGATTTGCTAATTTGCTTGCTAAGTAACATGTTCTACATAAGGATATATATATCTTAATATAAAATCATGTAGGAAACTACTTTTGACCGCTAGTACAGATAAACAAGCAACATAACCTCATCGTATCATAACAAAAATGCATTTAAAATGTAAACTGCATATTAACTAGTTAGAACATAATGCATACAATTTTCATATTTACTATGTAAACATTAGAGAAAAAACTGATAAATATCTATCGCATGCTTTCAGCATAAAAAGCAACACTTTTTATATAAAAGTTTTTGAAATTGTTTCTTTGTTTTTTTGTTCTTCGTACTATTGGCATTAATATTTAAAGTGACTTATAGGCCAAAGTGTCTGGTATTATACACTACTTGTCAAAAACACATATCAACATAATCCTGTGATAATAAATCATAATTTAGTTTTAATTTATTTTAGTTGTATACAAAGATTATGAAGAGGGTTCTCAGCCAGATTTGGCTCCTTTCTTTTGTTTACCGTGCATTTTAATTTCATTATTGAAAAAAAACTCATTGAAGATACCAAGCTTACGATTTTGTATGTCAGACGCGCGTTTCATCTACAAAAGAATCTTCATTGACGCTCGAGATTAAACGGACAAATAAAGTACGAAGTTTTGAGGACCTAAAATAATTCCAAAAGTTTTGTGAAATACAGCTAAGGTTATCTATTCCTGGTGTAGACCATCCTAAGCTATTCGAACAATTCAAGTTTTGTAAACAGTTAATTTATAAATATAAGCAACAGTAGTATACCGCTGTTCAATAGTCATAAATCGATTAAGAGAAAACAAATCCGGGTTACAAACTAAAACCGAAGGAAACACATCAACTATAAGAGGAAAACAACGGAACAACAGAAACACTGAACAGCAACAAAAACAAACGCCAACATACATAGGAACGGACTATTAGATAACAACTGCCATATTCCTGACTTGGAACAGGACAATTTAAGAAAAAAATTGGTGGGTTGAACCTGGTTTTATGGCTGGCCAAACCTCCCGCTGATATGGCAATGTTAAAATACCGTTAAAATGACAACACTACGTGACAGGAATTCGAAAACAGGACAAATAAACGCAAGAACACTCAGGATTAAATAAATAATATAATAGTGCATTACAACATGTAAACCGCAGAATAACAACGGACAACTCCCATGAATTCACGACAGTACACCAGGACACCACAAACGAAGTATAAACTGCGCGTCACAGGAATGTATCAACACCACAATGACCATATCAATGATTATTCATGTCAACACATGCAAGTGCTGACTACTAGGCTGATTACACCCTCGGGGATGAAACCTCCACCAGCAGTGAGATCAACACAGTGGTTGTAAAACAACGTATCAAATATACCAGGCTTAAGATTGTGTATCCCAGACGCGCGTTTTGTCTACAAAAGACTTATCAGAGACGCTCGACTCAAAAAGTAAAAAGGCTTCCATCTGTTACGATTTGAGCGCCAAAAATGACCCTTGTGGAGACGAAAGCGCGCCTTGCGTTCTTAAAGGGGCATAGCTACGAGATATACAAACAAAAATATGATTGCTTTTTGTTCAAACCTTAATGAAAGTGAACTAGTGAAATAATAATTCGCTTTTTGCAGCCAGTTTGGTTCAATTTGGTCAAAATAAGCTAAGAAACATCGCTGATAAATTATTCACTTGCAAGATAATAATTCGACCACATTGAATCTGTATTCTTGTGACCTCCAATTCAACTCCTTAGCTGGAGATGGGTCACGCATGCACTAGGCGTGTTTAGTTTTAAAAGAAAAAGAATGTGAACATTGAAAGAGAAACTAGGTTTAACAATTTCATTGACTGATTCGTTCCATAAAAACTTGTTCTTACACAGGTAAAAACGATGATTAACATATTATAAACCTATGATATGACATCAAATAGACCTTCAAAAACCCAATTGCACGTATTCGCTGTCTATTTATATCTATATCTATGTTTATATCGGGTTATATGACCGTCGGCATTCTTCGGAGGTCAGCTCGATCGTTAATTAGATGGTGTCTAGACTAAAATGCACATGAAATTTTGATACATTATTATCGAGTCTTTGCATTGTTAATTGTATATTTAAGACTTTTTATAATTTGGATATACGTTTTAGTATGTTATAAATCAAATATGAGAATCTGAGTCAAATCTGTGAACATGAATTTGACTAATGCCCCTTAAATTGAATCGAAGTTTCTTTGAGATATTGAAGATTGTATTACAATTCTTTACAATTCTTTTACTAAAATGACAAAAACTCCATTTCCAATGACGACGTCATTATTTTATTTACAGATCTATCAAGATACTTACCCAATGCTATGTTCAAATCGGTTATGTGACGCACCAGGATAGACAAAGTAACACCCACCAAGTTGCTTAATGTTCCTCAATCTCTGGAACTGTGGCGTATCAATTATTTTAAATAACAATGGATGTAACGTAATTATACCATGTATCGAATCATTCAGTATCTGAACAGAGAAAAAAACATACATTCTACATGTTATAAAATACATCAACATTCTATAGAAATTTCATTGTTCCTTGTATTCTTCAAATGAATCATTGAACAACAAAACCAAAACATAACACCTGAGTAAGGTACATGTATTTAGGAGTACTGAGAATCACAGCTGTTATTGTGGATCTCAGATACTTGTTATATATTTTTTTTGCAAATTTTAATGTATGAAGTTTATTTACAAGACAACGTCTAAATTTCTATATCGTTTCGTCAAATCATTATTAACAAATAAGAGAAACTTTCACTTCAATAAGAGAAAACAAAAACACATATAAGGGGGAGGGGGGTAACTCATTATTCTTTAAATTTATAATAAAATTGTTCTGTGAATTTACACCTATTGTTATTTATTAAACGAGAAAAGTTGGTTGGCTCTTAGTTTTCATTCGATTTGCAGGAAGTATTTTAATTATAACTTTAATTTAAAACGCTTTCATCTACCATCTGCTTTATAAAAATCATGAGATGTTGTATGATTGGCAATGAATCGCTATCCACCACAGTTCAAGTAAAGTGGATGCTAGCAATTATAGGCAACCGTACGGCTGCTACTTTACTTCGGAAGTATGTGTTTATCCAATAATGGGTATGTATTAATGGACAGTTTTGGATACTGGATACACATTTTTGTCACATTTACCTATTATATCTGTTTGTGTTGCTCGCTCAATAATGTAAATAGAACGTTAACGGAAATATAAACAACTGCGATACAAGTGGGAGGTTTAGCTAGTTATACGTCCAAGTTTAATCCACAATTTTCTTCGGAAAATGTCTGTACAAAATCAGGAATATGATGGTTGTTTTTCACTCGTTTTGGTTGTTGATAACGCTTGGTTTTGTCAGTTTTAAGGATTTTACCTTTTTGAATTTCCTTGGAGCTCGGTATTTTTGTTAAACATTTTCAAAACACCGGACTTCTTTTGATTGAAGCTGTCGTTTTATTTGAGATACATAGAAAGGAAGACATCAATGGGAAGCTATGACAGTACATAAAAAGTAACATTTTTCTACAAATCAATGATTTTTATTGTATTCATTGTAAATATACAAAAGTAATCAAATCTTAATTAATATCTAAATCCATAAACCTATCCTGTTAAATTAAAATTTTATATGGGAAATTGGTCATCACAGTCATTGCAAATAATTAAAAGAGGTAATCATTTTCTGATCTTTGTTTAGACAGGATAACCTGTAAACCCACAAAAAGCCAAGAGTTTAAATATCTTAAGCATTTTAGGAGTAACATATTAGAAGATGAAATACGATATACTTTGCGAGCTTGCAACTTGTTAGAATTTATAAAACAAACTAGATGTTCTGGTTCTTTTGGGAAGTATTTTGTAAACAAAGAAAGTCAATCAAAGGTAAGATATTTGCTGAATATGTATTGTAGAGTTCATGAGGTAAATAAAGTAAAATTTACTAAAATCTGGGTCAGAAGCTCACCTCTGTTAATAAAGTCCGTATTGAGTATACCTGCATGAGCGTAACGTAATAATTAGGAAATGTATCCGTAATATGATGAAACCGAATGTATGTTAAAACGTTACTGCTGAGAAATGGAAAATGACAATTGGAAAGTTGAATTTATATCATTTGTCATAGATTTTAGCTTGCAGTCGTTTATATGTGTAAATATCAAAGAATATAGCAAGATACACTGCAGACCTTCTAGATTCGGTAACATAATTAATATCAAGTTCACTAGGTTATTGAGTGAAATTCTGTATATCTAAAAGGGAAATTCATGAACGTTGAAAAATGCATTTTCTTTTGCCTTTCAGAGAGTCCTGTATGCATTCTGCTTCATATGAGTATGAAAGAAAGTCGGCTTATAAGGTTCAACAATTAGGATCTTTGGAATTCCGTCTTTCTATTGAAATGATATTCCACAAAAACTGAACAAATATGGTGTCATACAAAAGTCGATAATTTTGTTGATATCATCTCAAGGCAAACGTTAAAATTGGTGATATTCAGATACCCAAAACATGTAAAATTACAACAAGACAACACACGAAGCTGGTTAAAGTAATTAGCTTTTATAGTATTTTTATAAAACTTTAAAAAAAAAAACTGTCAAAAATAGACAGGCTGTCTAACATTTCGTCTAACTGGCATACACGTTCTTCGTGTTTATTTTCAAATACATTTTGAATGCATGTTTGAATGCCATTTTCTGTCAGCAGTAGTAATATTATAGAACTAATATAAAAATATTCCTAATTGGTACTCTGAGGTTTATGAACGTTGTTTAACTAGTTTTATTCCTGGTATTCTTTGTAATAATCACTACTGATAACTATCAAGTTCCGACGTCTTTCCAGAACAAGTCTCATAATATAAGAATTGTTTCCATTTACACAGTCATATTTTAGACGCAGGACAAAAAAAAAACTTATGCCTTGGTTAAAGCCCACGTGGTCCAAAGAGCGACGTTAGCTGTTACAATCACTTGGCCTCCGGCATCGTCTGTCGTCTGTCAGTTAAAATTTGGTTTTAAAGATGTTCTCTTAATCTACTGACTAATTTTAAAATCACATAGATTCGTTCCTTCAAATCCTTCAAATGATGATGCTTATAAGAAAACTACATTCCTGCGTCTAAATTTGCTGACTTAATTCAAAATCTGGACCTATTGTGATGTTCAATTTTACAATCCAATATGGCGGAAGACTCCTATACCACCTTGAGATATTGTAACATTTTTTCAACGTTTTATGATAAAAAGCCTTTATTATCAACAAAGCAATACAATCCAACTAATGCAATATGGGATGTACAAAGATACAAGTATTTTAACGAGATTTTTAGTAACGTTGGGTTGCTTTCATTTTGACGTTCACCCTACATGATGATAGAATATCCCCATGCTGTGATCAATCAAATATATTTAATAAACACTAACGAGATAATCATAATATTATGTGTATATTGGTTAATTCATATAAAACTGAAATTGAGAAGAAAAAGATATAAAGTAAGACTTCTGCGCTTTTTCAACAAGCATCCACACCATTGCAATAACTGTGATGTCGTAATTACGTTAACGGTATCCATTTGACTGTATCAGATGGAAGCGCATGTCAACAATTAATCTTTCTTTGGTGATGCTCGAGGCCAAAATATTTCAAATTCCAAAACCCAAAACAAACATTGAAGGGGTGATTAGACCAAATAGGACGAGAAGTAAAGCCAAACCCGTACAGAGCCATACATGAGGGAAACACTTTTCTCAATTTCCAAAGATGTCGAAATTTAACAACAACAAATTAAAATAAAACAATATCCGTATTTTCATGCCAGTACAAGAGTAACAAAGGCTAGCGGTTCCTAAATCGGGACAGGCGCAACAATTCAGTGGGGTTAAACATGTTTTGTGAGAACTCAACCCTCCCCCTATACCCCAATGTGGAATAAACAAACACACACAGCAAAATGCACAGTAAACTCATTTTAGTAGAAGTCATGTACGTGTGACGAAAGTTGCACCGATTTTCAAATTAATACCTTAGTAAATCGATAGATTTATAATCAACTTATTTTTTGACTGCAACACAGGTGTTACCAATTTAAACATCAAGCATACTAGCAATTTTTACTTAATAACTTTTTTCAAAGAATATAGTTCATGACAAAGTCTTTATCATTTCTAAAATCAAATACATCCATGCATCATTTTGCAGTGTTTATTCTGGAGATGTTCATTAATGAAAGTAAAAAAAAATGTCTCCTTTGAAATGTATGAAAGTATTTTAATAATAATGTTCCAATAAATATTTTAGATTTAAAAATCCGTACCATACTCATACCGTTACACGAGTAAACCTGGCCACGGAATTCTTCCATTTACTAGAGGACAGATTATAGTCATTTTTGAAATGGATTATGCAACTTAGTAATATTCATTAGTGAGGTTATATTCATTTTATTGTTCTATAAACTAATATAAATTTACCTTTGCCATATTGATTCTTCCTTATTTACTGAACCACATACCATCTACTGAAAAAAAAAAAAATACTTCGACAATCAATGTCATTTCAGTGATATTCGAGAATTATACAAAAAAAGAAGAGCTGCTAAAACCAAAAAAGATAAAAGTATAGCCAAAGTCAAATAAGGACTCAGAGTTTCGCATAAGGGAGATATATTCCTTAATTTCAAGTAATTTTCAAAATTTTGTAACAGCAAATTTTAATAAAACAATATCCGAATGTTCATGCCAGTACCGAAGTACTGGCTACTAGAAGTATATTATTTACAGCATATTTGAACTTTTAAGATTTATCAGAATTATTATCTTTCTGTTTTGGGCAATTGATATAGAGACACACAGAAAACAGAACTATTCCAGTATCATATATTAATCTGTGTTATTGCCATAAGAATTGGACATTAAATTTATTATCTCAGGACACAGTTATTTACTATGACGATTATAATCTGTAGGGTTTAAACAGTTACTTGGTGGTTAAAAATTTATCATTGAACAGTGCTGGTGAACTGTATTACACCTTTGATATTATATTTACAAACTGTTAACACAATGCATTGGACATATATAGATTCTACCACTGCATTGAGTGTGATACGATATTTATCCACTCAAGACAGTTAAATTTTCAAATTTAAAACGCGAGGCTCGCCGAGCGTTTAAATATTTAAAATTGAACTGTCGAGAGTGGATAAATATCGTATTACACGAGATTTGGTGGTGGAATCTGTTTCTCTAATGATTTTCAAACAAAACGCAGGCAAAGGTATTCCTTCTTTTCGAATGATCTGCAAAAAGATGTGTTTTTTCTACGTGACGTCATCAGGCATGGTCGCCTTTTTTCATGCCGTCACAATAGGAAATTCAGAGGAAAGCAAGAAAATTCGACGTCATAATCGGATTTTAACCAATGAAGAACTGAGATCAAACGAACCACACGTTGATTAAATTTTTTTTATACAATGGGTGCAGAAAGGGATAAATTGACGAAGAATTAGAGAAACAATGATTACAAACTGTTAACATAATGCATTGAACATACAATGATTACAAACTTGAAAATTATTCTTTTATATATAGTAAGTATCACTGTCTTTGACGACTTTTTAGTCGTCACATATAATTTAATAATAACAATTAGAAAAATAATTATGATTTTGTAAAAGATTTATTGTGGAAATCTTATATATTCTGAACGACTTTATAAAACGTTGACAGTTTTCAAATATCGTTTGGTTTGCAAGGAAAGAAAGTTGGTGAATTAGTTTATGCAAAAAGAAATGTTGATAAATTTAATAACTTTGCTGTTAATGTCCAATTATTTTATTGTTTGACACAAGACTCTTTTTCTTCTATGTTACAACATTGCTTACGTTAAAGATTATTCTTAGTATTATAATGGATGTTATAGTGTAGGACGACAAGATTTCATATAGTCAGGTTATTTTTTTTTTAATATAACAATAAAGAGATGTGGTATGATTGCCAACGAGACAACTTCCACCAAATCTCAAATGAAGTGGATGTAAGCAATTATAGGCAATCATACGGCCTTCAACAATGATAAAACACCATACCGTATAGTCGGCTATAAAAGGACCCGATATGCAAAATATAAATCTATTCAATTGCGAAAACTAACGGCCTAATTTATAACAATTTTCTTTCAATGAACACTGTCTGTCATATTCATGTCTGTAATATTTGTTTTTCGTTAAAATTTTTGTTATAAATTAGGCCCTTATTTATAATTTATAAAAATGACCATATAATTGATATTCATGTCAACACCGAAGTGCTGACTACTGGGCTGGTGATACCATCGGGGACGAAACGTCCACCAGCAGCGGTATCAATATATGATACGACATTAATAATAATTATTTTGTCTGAACTTGTATTTTTATTGTGAATTATATGGTATTACGTTCTTCATTGTTTTCTTGTTTTTTTCTGATCTGAGTTTAATTGTACGTTTTAAGTTGTACATATTAATACTACTGATCGAGGGTAAAACGAGTACTGGGAAATACAGAAAAAAGTTTAACATGTTAATCTCCTCCAAATATTTTTGCGGCTGTCTCAAATATGGAATCTCTTCAGTAGGTAAATTGTGTAATATCTAAATGTTTTTTTTCTTGTCGTCTAAGAATTAAAGTTTTGAAGGAAGATCGTTGACAGAATCATTCTTCTTAATGTACTAGTATTGAAATATCTTCAAAATAAAATCTTGACACTGTATTGACGCTTGTCTTTTTTAAGACCGTATGTTGAGGTGTCTATATTTTGATTTGTTTTTGTTTCGGTTTCAATGATGAATATTTCATTCGTTTGATGAGTTTGAGCTCTTGATTTTTCCATTAGATAAAGGACTTTCCGTTTTAAATTTTCCTTGGAGTTCTGTATTTTGTTATTTTACTTTTTTCCATATCTGTTTCTGTTCAGTGCAAAGGCGTTTTTGTATGCAAAGGCAATTCTATTGAAAGTTACCAATATCAAATTGGGCCATTGTTAGCAATGCAAATTATGATACGGTTTAACTTATCTTGCATAAATTGGTTCGAAATGCCCTTTAATATCAATTTCAACATTCAAAGTAGTCAAATATTACTATTTGAAATTGATTTTCAGAATTTTCCTTTAATTTAATGTAGAATTATTGTGCCTTTAGAGTAAACATGGAGAGAAAAGATTCTAAAATTTTGTGTAGCAGTTTGGTGAGCAGTTTTTGTATTCTTATTTCTTTATTCAAAATTTCTTAGTCATTTTAGATTTTCTTATTTCTTTTGTGGTACTTGTTTGCTCAACATTCAAATGCCAATAGTAATTTAAATATATAGATATATATAAACAAGTCTAAGTTGAAAACAACGTTCAAACCTATGATTGCGTTGGATAAAAACCGCAATTTTTATACGTGTGCATGCAAAACAAATTTCTTGGTAGAGGGGTCTAAATACAGCACAAACAACATTTTCCAAAAGACCAAATGAGTGAAAAAGTATATTTTAACAAAACGCAATGAAATTTGTTTTGCATGCACACGTATAAAAATTGCGGTTTTTATCCAACGCAATCATAGGTTTGAACGTTGTTTTCAATTTAGACTTGTTTATATATATATATATATGCTTTCTTACTTTGATATTAACTATATTAATTATTTTGTTTCGATATCAATTTTGGAAGGAAGACCAGTTAAAAAACTTACATTGAGAAGACTCCCTTTCTAGATCAAAAGTGACGTACGTTGTGTAATCACGAGATACATATATGAGATGAAAGTCTACTATCTATCAAATATTGCAACATCAAATGCATGTACTATATAATCTGAATTTCGGAAAATCGTTATCATGGCTTAACGATAATAATAATACATTTGCAAGTTATTAGATGGCCAGCTGTCATTTTGGAAGACATCATGAAACATATATTGATTGATATTTTACTTTAATCACTAGATAAGTATTTGTATGAAATGAAAGAAATGACATCTACATCAACGAATTGGTCAAATGCTATAAAAGCTTAAAAATTTATGTGTGGAAATGGTTTTTCATAACAATTGTTTGTCAAGGCTTTAATACACATATATTCTTGTTTCTATCCCTTAATAATTACGTGATAGACTTTTATGATCAGTCGACGTAAAATGAAATGATTTGAAATGTTTATCCTTTTACACAGATATATAATTCTTATTCAAACTGTTAACTACAGAAACTGATTTGTAAACTAGGGAGAGAAGATACCGAGGTCGACCACAAACATACGTGGAAGAAAAAAAAGAAACGACAGAAAGAAGAAAACGAAAATAAAGAACATCGAATAAGGGTACCAAAAGGGCACTTATCATTACCAAACAAAAATACCAACAATGGCCAAAAGAAACAACGAATAGACAAACCACTTAACATGAAATAATAAATTGAATAAATCGTATCCCGAAGAAACAAGGCATTTACTCCGGTTCCCCTAAGGGTAATTTATAACACCTTCCTTTCAATGATCACTGTCTGTCATATTAATTTCTGTCATATTTGTTTTAGTCAAATATTTTGTTATAAATTAGGCCATTAATTTTCCCGTTTGAATTGATTCACATTTTTCATGTTGGGGCCTTTTATAACCAACTATACCGTATTGTTTTTTTCATTTTTGAAGGCTGTACGGTGGCTTTCAATTGCTTACATCACGTCATTGAACTCTTGATGGATAGTTGTCTGATTGTCAATCTTACCACTTCTCCTTATGTTTATACTAGCATAATATGATACAGCATTAATAATCATAACTTTGTCTGAACTTGAATTTTATTGTGAATTATATGGTATTACGTTCTTCGTTGTTTTCTTGTTTTTTTTCTGATCTGAGTTTAATTGTACGTTTTCCGTTGTACATATGTATACTACTGATCGAGCGTAAAACAAGAACTGGGAAATACAAAAGAAAATTAAACATGTTAAACTCCTCCAAATATTTTTGCGGCTGTTTCAAATAAGGAATCTCTTCAGTAGGTAAATTGTGTATTACCTAAATGTTTTTTTGTGTCGCCTAAGAATTAAGCTTTGAAGGCAGATCGTTGATAGAATCATTCTTTTAAATGTACTAGTATCAAAAATTCTTCAAATCTAAAGCTTGACACTGTATTGACGCTTGTCTTTTTACACAGTATTTTAAGGTGCCTATATTTTGCTTTGTTTATGCTTCTGTTTCAATAATGATAATTCCATTCGTTTGATGAATTTGAGCTCTTGATTTTTCCATTTGATAAAGGACTTTCCGTTTTGAATTTTCGTTGGAGTTCGGTATTTTTGTTATTTTACTTTTTTCCATATCTGTTTCTATTCAGTTCAAGAGCGTTTTTGTATGACAAATGCATTTATATTGAAAGCTAACAATATCAACTTAAGCCATTGTTAACAATGCAAATTATGATACGGTTTAACTTATCTTGCATAGATTCG